TTAGAACAAAAAAGAGCTGCAATATAGGTACCATGTATAATCAGCCACAATGAAACTAATTCTCTTTTACACATTGAAGTCTGCAGTCAAAATAAGCTAAGAAACAAAAATGACATCTCCTTTATCATCTGTTACTATATGATTTAAGATTGTAATTTGAATTGAAGAAGAGAGTATTTATCCCTAAGCACACCCACCAATCCATATAAACAACAAAATAAAGTCATAAAAAAGGCATGAACAGCTTTACTAAATAGGTGATAAAGACAGAAAAAATTCATGTGTATGATCTCCTAGTTCGTGCTTCCTGTAGAAATGTCCTGCTTCATACCATAACATGAACACTTTCTTTGGGACAATCAAACTTCTGCTAAAGTTTGAAACTGACTTCTCAGCCATATGCGTCAAAAACGAAAATCAAAGCATAGTGCCCATTCATTTTAACAGTTATACACCTCTTAACGCTTTTGCCGGGGGGAACAAAACATGCGGCGGAGGAGAAGCCTTCATACAGAGAGAGCGAGAGTACCTTAAATGCGGGAGCTTCAATGTCTTCAACTATTATGAAATCAGTGTTTTTATCTTTTAATGGACCAAAAAGTTGTGCCTTGAACACAGGTGAGCGTGCTGCGAGCACCACTTTGTGGGCAGCAAATACTTCTTCGTCAACTTTGAAACTTACATCAGTCAACTTCCCACTTTCTAAAAGCTTACCAAAATGCTGGCCGATATTAGAAGGTGGTTCTGCGATATTGTATGTTTTAGGTCCTTCTGTATTCGTCTTAACAACACCAACACGACATTTTATTATAAGGCAATCATCTTTAAGGTAGTCCGATCCCTCTAAAAGACTTCTTTTGTAGAAGCGTTTATAACCCCTGCAACATCCAAAAGTTGAACCTACTCGGTTATGTTTTTCACCCGCAACATTACAGGCAACAATTTATGTTGTATACACTATATTTATTTGTGGAAATCCAGGCCCAAACAATTACGGTGTTTTGCAATGCTCACTAACAATGCTAATGACAGCTTTGCCAAAACATGAAGTACATAATACACTCTGTAAACAATGGCCAAAACTTGAAGTAGTTATCCAGTTGTCAGACGAGACCATATAAAAGAAGATAATACTGTTTGGTCTTTTACTTTCTTTACATTTAAACAAATTTTATGAGGTATTTTATCTCCGAATTGCATTCAAGGAGCTTTAAGTTTGTGGCGGAAGTCGAACTAAAATGGTTAAACTTCAAACCTACAACATCATTCGTTTAACTAATTCAAGGAAATTTTTCGCACTTTTAAACACACAATATGCAATCAGAGTCCAATACAGACATATATACATACAACTTAAACAAAAGTATACATCGAAAGAGTAATTCACAATGCATACCACATGCTTCCGCGGTATTTAAGCGTATAAGGACCGCCATCGAGCATCCTCAGAAAATGGCTATGCACCTTGTGCCGTTGCCTCTCGCTCTGATCCAAAAGCGTCAATTCGAACAACGCCCTGACGTCCGTGCCCTCGCTGGCCAGAGCTATGAACACCGACACATACCCGGCGTTGTCCTCGATACTCTTGCCATCCGGGTAGAAATATATAGCCCACGTGTACCCACCCACCACAAACGAATCGGAGGCGACGTACTTACCGATTCCCATACCCTTGGCAAGGGAGTACCCACTGATCTTAAACTCGTGGCACCCATTTACGGTCTCCGTGCACGACGTCGAGCACGTAACCGGCGGAGCCAGCGGCGGTGGGAACGAGCTGTGTTTTAGAGTTTCATTGCGGACCCCGATTCTGTCCATTAACAATTACTGGCCGGTGGCGCGAAAAGGATCGATTTTGATGTTCTGGGGTTTCTCAGGGAGGGAAATTGTTAAAGGGGTTGGATTGTATTTGGAATTAGGGTTTTGATTGAACAGGGTTGGGGTGTAAAATTGGGGGGTTTTGGGGTTGGAGTTGGTGGTCCAAAATTGAGGATCGGAAGGGTTGGAGCGAGAGAACAGAATTGGCGGGCGGCGGCGGCGGCGGCGATGTGGGTTTGTGGTGGTTGGCGGTGAATGGTGATGACGGTGGTGAGATTAATATTTTGATTCCGGTCGAGTGGGGGTAATGGTTTTTATAAGGTTGGAATGAGGTTCGAGTTCTTACTTTTAGGAAACAAGACGACAAACATAAAACAATCAGAATAACATTGATTAAGCAATTAAATATGTGAATAAAATAAGCAACTAAAGATATAACAATCAGAATAACATTAACACTCATTTTCTCATGTGGGAAATACTTTTTAATTTGAGAATTCCTAATGAGACTCTCTCAGAGTGGGACTCTCTATAAACTATATGTTACTTCACGGTTTAATTTTAATTTATGTGACCACATTATAAAATATTGCGTTAAAATTCAAAGTTTCAATTTTGAGAAAGTATCCCTAGCATTTCTATTGGGTTTTTATATTAACACTCCACAAAATATTGAATGCACCTCATATTAAAATTTAATATTAAATGACTTATTTACTCTACTATGTAATGACAATTTTGACCTTATTAGGTTTAAAAAAAATAAAGATTTATAAATACATCACAAATCACTTTTAGCGTATTATTTATCTTCTAAACTATCAAACATGTTGATTAAGAAAATTTGTTTTTTTATGAATGGAACATGAAATCGATGTTTCAAGAGCTTCACATGAGGTAAGACTTCATAGTTTTCATTGTTTTAGTGATTTCGATGACATCGATAATTATTTAATCTTGCGTTTGCTGCATTATTTAAACTTCTATATTCATATTCATCTTTTAGTGTTCATATGGTTAGATTCAATCCCTGAAAATTAAAAATGAGTGTTATAAGATTTGAGAAATGTGGGGTGTATGTACAAAATATAAGATGTATATTAAAAATGTGGAGTGTGAGGGTATTATGGGAAAGAAAGTGGGGTGTATTAAGATAATCTTTAAGTGAAAAAGCAAATGTGGGGTGTATTAAGTTTGTGAGGTTTATTCAACAATTTGTGGGGTGTTAATATAATTAGCCTTTCTATTTTAATTTTTGAAAGAAGAATGTGGATATGCTTTTAAAATGAATGAAAGCATTTTTGGTGAAAATATTTTTGGAAACAATTCTTAGTAAATATGTTAGTAAAACCTGAAATAACACTTAAAGTGATTCTTGGAAGAATCACAAAACTGGTGTTTTTTTTAAAAACACTTAAAATGCTTTTGGAATCAAAAAACATTTTCTCTAAAAACGTTTTCAGTCATTTTAAAAACACATGCAAACAAACCCGTAATTTAGTCGTGTATGTTGAATTTGGAATTGAAAGTTTGTAACTGATGTAGAAACAAATTTGGAAAGAAATTTTAAGGCCAAATCTCACGTTTGGTCCCTGTAATAGTTTAGTTCAAGTTCATTTTTGGTCACTCCTTGTAATTTGGTAAATGATGCAATTCATATCATTTAGTTTACAAAATTTTATCTATAAGATTAATCTCTCTAGCATTATTCTCTCTAGCATTATTCTATGCAATTGCACAACATCCACATCAACCCAGCAAAAACTCTAAACAAAGCCACAATTCTTTTCTGATTATCTTGCCAGTAGCTAAACAAAGCTATATATATATTGAGAACACAAAGTAGGCAAGGGAAACATGGAAATACTACTTGTATGGTCTGATATAAAGCATCCATGGGAGCAAATTCTTCCTTGAACAAATACCAATAATTAGAAAACAAATTAAGTCACAAAGGGGACCAATATTCCCCCGGGATTGAATTGACGAAAACATACACACACAAAGAAAAGAGACAAACGGAGTTAGACCAACATCGGGGTGGTATTATCCAAAGGGTCTTTGATGCTTAAGTCAGAAAAACTGTAGGAAGCAATAAGGGCATGGTGAAAGTTCTTGATTACCAGACTAAAGTGGCTACCTTGGCTATTTAAAGAGAATTGAGGAGTTAACCTTAGCGTCTAGATTCTTTGAACCCGTTAGCAGAGTGTTACCTAGTATGCAAACCGATGGAGGAATATTCCTGAGATTTCGAGAATATGCTTCAAATAGTCTTGCTTTGCTAAGATACGGATAGGCAAACTATTGCATCTGAGGGTAATCTATGTATGTCACATGGCAATCGAGTTGGACAGTTGACGATGAATTGGGCATGGAGGCCTTGATTGTGGGCTTTTAAGGTCTTCGTAGAGAATGTGGCCTATTAAGTTTGACTAATAGTTTGTGTATGCTGTTAAGGACAGAATAATCATATTTGATAAATTGTACACATGACGTATTCCTGTTAGTCCGAATATTTTATGTCCCAACAATAGCCTTATAGAATAAAGCATTCTGATCTCTTACTTATTGTTTTCCAATTTATTAAACACGCCAAAAGGAGATGAAGGCGTCCTAATTTTTCTTGAAATGACTAGAATGCCCATGTAGTGGCACATTTCATTAAAATATCTTTGAATTGCATCGTTTACTAAACTATATAAGGATTTACATTGAGACAATTAAAAACACGGGAGCCAAAAGTGAACAACAACCAAACTACAGGAACCAGAAATGAGATTTAGCCAATTTTTTATTTCAAACAACAAATTTCTCATTTAATGCTTATTTAGTTGAATTAATTTGATATTAGCCTCCCTCTTATCAGACGCAATATAACAAATTAGTAACTATATATATATGGGGCAGTTTGTAGTCTTGTCAGCATCCCAATATGTTCCATTGGAACTCAAAGGAAGCCTCAGATTGTAGATGACCTCACCCCGATGAACAGTATACCTATCCTGGAAAGCAATGACCACGTCGATACTATAAAGCTCAGCTGCTGCAGGGCGGGTCACAGATTGAGATTGCTCGAACAACATATCGTGCCCTTGAACGACTACATTCTGAAAAATGGTTGTGTTCTTGGGTGTCGACGACATCGACCGATCCATCAAAGTCACCTGCCCAATTCTCTTGTCTTAGTAGTATGCACTGACTTTGACGTCAATCAACTCGAGGAAGAGTTTCTTCTTGGGGTTTGTGAGGGTGATGTTGAGGGCGAGGTTGTAGGAGAGAGTACGGTTGCTTCCGGTGTAATTGAACTGGGTGAGATGAGCGCCGTTGATGGTGAAGTCGGGGCATTTGTACCCCGAACTACTTATTTCGGACGACACCCTGAGCCCAATGAGAAGAGCAAAAGCTATGAGAAAAAGAGCAAGCATCAAGACCCAAAAGATTTTATCGCACGCTGATAACGGAGAGCTTTTAGTTGCAGAAATGGGTAAGGAATCGGGATTCTCGCAGTCGTCTGAACTTTTAGCTGTAGATATGGGAGTATAAGTTGCAGACATGGCTACTCCCATGGCTAAGATATATGAAAGAGAGAATAAAGAGGGTTGCGAAAACTGGACTGAATAATGAGAAACGAGGCTGGGCGTTAATATACACACACACACGACTTACAAAGACATTTCTAATGCGTGTAGTAGGACTAGGTATTACAAAGACAATTCTATTGTAGTGGGTGGTGGTTTACGTGTGGCTTCATTTCCTTTTTTGACCAATTCTTTAACAAGAAAATATAAATCAGTTTTTTATATTAAAAACCTAAAAAACATGATTTAACATAAAAAAACTAATTTCTTACACGTGTAAGCATATGGGAGAGACTGTCAAATTATCAGAGAAACGGGTCAAGGGCCCACTTTCAACAACACCGATATTGTCACCAACTTATTAATTACCATCTGCACAATCTATGGTGGAGTCAGAATTTTATAACAATGGGGTCATAGTAAATAAATGAGAAAATTTTATAGGACGACAATAAGGCTAGCAATGATTTATGGTACAGAATGTTGGGTAGTGAAGCATCAACACATACATAAAATTGGTGTAGCGGAGATGAGAATGCTTCGTTGGATGTGTGAGCACACAAGAAATGATAAGATTAGGAATGAGGATATCTGAGATAAAGTGAAAGAAAGATGAGGATATCTAAGATTAGCCAAAATTGAAAGAAAGATGAGAGAAAATCGGTTACGATGGTTTGGATATGTGAAACGAATGCCTACTAACGCTCTGGTTAGAAGATGCGATTACGGAACAGATGTTCAAGGCCAAAGGGGTAGAGGAAGACCTAGGAAGACTTTAAAAGAAACTCTAAGAAAAGACTTAAGAGTATTTGGATCTAACGAAAGATGTGGCACAGAACCGAATGGAATGACGTTCTAGGATTCTCTAGCTGACCCCACTTAGTGGGAAAAGCTTTCCTGTTCTTGGGGTCATAGTAAATAAGCGTCTAGAAGTTGATCATACTTTCATTTATATTGTGCATGATTTGTTATCATACTTCCAAATGGTCGTATTATACACCAAGATTATGAGTTAAACACACGGCAAACAAGAATAGAGGAGATCTTTTGTCAAAAGTGGAAAATGAATTTCACAATCCTTAATGAAAGTATAGCAAGTTGTACACTCTTACTTAGTATATTCAAAATTAAATTAACACTAGGCTCAATAAATCATAAAAGATTAACTTAGGTATTGTGTTTAATTGAGATTTTATTTTGAGCTCGAGAAGGAAAAAGATAGAGGAATCAAGGGAAAAATAGTTGTGGGTGGAGGCCGATAGAAAAAAAAAAAGAAAAAAGAAAACTAAAACTCAAGTGCATCCAATGCACTCACTGTAGTTTTGCAACTTTTTTTCAGGTGTAAGATTTTATTACAAAAAGTTTATGTATTAGTTGGAGTAGGGTTATGATATTTAGTCTCTTCTTTTTTACTGTCTCTGCCCAATGTGGGATATCATCAAAGACTAGTTATTATCGTTATTATTTTAGTAGAGCTATAACATTAGTCGGTTAAATAGTTATTTATGTCACGTCCCGATCCCGACATATGTCAAGAATCAACACGTGATAAGAGGAAGTAACGTTCGTTGAATATGTCATAAGTTACATAATGAAATACAACTCTAACAAATAACCCAAAATAATTATGAGGGTGGCTAGGTCATCCACAAGATATTTACAAATATGTACACTCCAAAAAGAAGCACAACCCTCGCTAGACTTGGAACAAGTCCGAGGTGCTCAAAAGAAAGTCCAAAAAAATAAAGTACAAGAGAGGATAAAGGGTAACCTAACGTTCCAAGTTTATGATAAATGCGCTGCTACCCCCACCTACGGACTTATCAGAATCTACTCAGACCTGTCACCTGTATGATTAGTGCCTACACCATCGGAATGGTGCACCGGACAAACAACAACCCGGATAAGCCGCAAAGCTCGTGTGAGTGACAATAATGCAAAGTATGTGATAACAATAATAAAACCAACCATCAGTCACAGTTTATAAACCTCGAATATAATTCATTCGTAAGAAATCAATATCAAGTCTCTGAAATCTCCGAATGAGTCACCCTGACATCCAACAACTTTTCTAAATCAAAACACAATGTTCTCAAAACTATATATAGTTCACAGAAACACTAAAAACTAAGGCTAGAGTGATGCAGTTCATCCGAAGCCTACATGAGTAACCAAATAAGAAGTGGCCCCCTATCGCAGATTAACTAAGCAGAGCCACCCCTGCAATAACCAAGTAGGCAGTGACCCCCTATCGCGGATTAACTAAGCAAAGTCACTCCTACGCATCTGTTAGGCAGTGATCACCTATCGCGGATTACCAAGCATGATCATCCCTAAGTGTGTATGGCCATACCAAAGATATAAGGATTGCCTATCGCAGATTAACCAAGCACGATCCATAAATAGTATGGTCCCCTATTGCAGATTAACCAAGCAGGACCATCCATGTACCATTGCTACATGGTGCATACTCAGTGTCACCTAACCCCATGACACGAGGGTAACGGTCTTCTACTAGCCCTCACGTTTATCAAACAATCATATACATATTTTAAAACACAATTCATAAACAATTCAAATATCCAAGTCACATAACATTTCATAAAGTAGATCGATGGCACACTTTATAAAAACAATTATTTAGCATAAAACATATTTTAGAAATCCATGCTATATCCACAAAGTATCCTAGCATTGGAGTTTTCAGGGTAATAACTATATCACATATATTAAAGTAACTCAACTGGGGTCTGCGCTAATGCACCCTAGCACGAAAATCAAGGCATCACGCTCTATGGCCGCCTAAAACAAAGTATAAGCCCACATTTAGAATTCCTTCAATAATTCATATAACCACAGCTTCAATAGGTTCCTCACAATAAAATTTTAAGAGAAGTTGAACTGTCGTTCAAAGGTAGGGGGCTGGCCGCCCTGACTCGCATGAAATTCGACTTTTTCCAAAAATTCTCAAATTTTACAAGAATGAAGATCTCAATGAGTAGAGTAAGTTTTATACATGTGGCCAAGTCCAATTTGATCGGGAAAAGCTCCAATTTCTCTTAAACCCGTCGAAAACCCTAGAATGGGTGAGCTTCGATTCTCCTTCCTCAGTGCTCTGACGCCCTTACAACTGGTTGGGTCTTGTTCCTGGGTCCAAGGGGAGTTGATTAAGGGTGGTAGTGGGTGGTGAGACTTACGGGAACGACGGAATCACCGTTAAAACTCCACGGTTCACCCACATGGTTTTACACGGTTTTGGACTTAAAAATCCTCAAATCTGATACGATCCATTCTTAATTCTCCTAATCAACCTGCAAGTAACACAGAGGATAGAGAGGGAGAGGGAATGAAGAGAGAGAGAGAGCAGAGCTCTTGAATTGTTTTTTGTTTATATTTCTTTTGTGTAAATTATGATCTGCTACAATTAAGGGAGTTGAGCTCCTTTTATAGACTTCTACACTTTTAGCGCCAGCTAGCATTTCTAACAAACTTCACTAATTAACAAGAATAAGCCTAAGAAATCCAATATTAAACCCCTAATAATGATTAAGCCAATCACTAAATCCTAAGTTCATAACATTGCCGTTCCCTTGAAAAACAACCTTGTCCTCAAGGTTAAGATTAGCACTTGGAATCTGGAATTGTTTGCAGTGAAATTTAACTAAGGAGTCTTGTAAACGAAGTGTGAATTTGTAGTTCTTGGAAGGAACGTGAGAAATCAGTTGAGCCAATACTGCTTGTGGGGATGGTTTCTACACTAGACCTTCCTCTGTGCTTAGTAACAAGGTGGTTGAAGGCTCAACAGTGGGAGCTAAGAAAGAAGCATAAGACCACCAATTACGAAGCATAAGAACTTACAGCGCCATACTTGTGAAATGACATGTTTTCAATTCAACTGCAACCACTGCCTGCTGGTCAACATCAAAACATTTCAATGGTAGTTCCGTTCAGAAAAATAGATTCTCAAAAGCACCCATTCACTTGCCTTCCTTGTACTGAAAATAAAGTATCAGCTTGACAACTTTAGCCAATGCATCACCCACAAGCTTGTCAATTCCACCTTGTAGTGCATGTTGAAAATGTTGATCAAAAGCATTTTCTTTTGCAGAGAACTTCATAACAAAATGAAGCCTTGATTGCATGTAATTTACCCTATTGTTTTATTTCTGATTCACCACATTCGCAAACTCTCAATCACCAATGCTTGACTTTCTATGGCACTAGCAACAGTACCATGCTTCAGGATCAGCTGCTCCAGACAGAAAACTGTGGGTTTGGGAGAAGCATGCTGGTGAAGTTGCACGAATACAACCCATTGGATAGGGATGGTATGAACCTGTGAACATGATTCGCACCTATGTTTTTATTCACATCATGAAGGACATCAGACAGAACTTCACATGTAACCTTGACTATTTTGGAGTGAGGTTCAGTCCCAATAAGTAATGTTGAGTATGTAGGAGTGAAGGCTGAAGGATACCCCCCAGTGCACAAAATAAATTTTGGTTGCCTCACACAACTTGAAAGCACTGAGGAGGTCTTAAGTTTAGTCAAGGAAAAATAGCTCTTTACAGCAGTACATGTTGGTGTACCAAAATTGATCCAATGTTGTATTGTTATCTTTATGGCAGTATAAGAAATCCTAGTAATGATATTGGCTTCACTCTTTGCATAAAGATCTAGATGTGCATTCGTAACATGTGAATTTCCCGTGAATCCCACCATCAACAGATACTCATGGATCCTCCTATCTTCAATGGATGTTGACATTCCTTGTAATTTGGTACAACGAAAAGCCCCACCAACTCTCCACACAATCTCAGCAACCACAGCTTCATTTTCAAGTGAATTTGTAGAGTAGGTAAAGTACACCATTTTCCATGGTCTAATACACCCGACTGCTTGCACACAAATCTCACACACACAACCATTACCTTGTCTAAGTCACCAATAACCCAAGGTCGAGGGACAAGGTTTTGACAACTAAC